CTGCCGAATGCTTCTTTCTGTATCCTGCCTGTTTTTCATATAATTTCTTATTTATATCTGCCCAGTTATTTAATTCAAAATTTATAATTATTTCAAATATTTTTTCTCATCACAGTTAGCACTGATATTCCTCTATAATTCTCTGGATTATTTACATCACCTGGATAGGTCATTACTTCACTTCATAGTTCAGAAAACACTCCACTATTCAGAATGAAATTAAAAATTTTACTAAATTCTGAACTTACATTCTCAATATTTAATTTAAACATTTTATTAGTTATACCATCAACGCTAAGATTAATGTAATACAATATTTTTTGTAGGAAAGCTGAAAAAAAAGATGCTGAGGTCTATGCAGAGTAATGAAGATCACTTGGTTGCTATTGAAATGATTGACGGTAGCATGTCTGTGCGGGAAGATGCCCAGAGAATAAGATGTTCTGTTTTATCAATCAACCAACTAGTCCAGAAAAGCAAGGAAACCATCTCTGTGAAGGACAGAACATGTCCTAAAGCCAAAGGATCACCACATAAGCCCAGGACTGTCATACCCATCTGATCCATCTTCAAGCCAATCTGGAAGTATGGATTTTCCAGCAGGGCAGTGCGAAACCACACAATGCTAAGATTGCAATGGCACAGCTTCAAGAAAAAAAAAACATTTTTGAAGTCTCGCTGTGGCCAGCTTTTTCTCCTGACTTGAGCCTGGAAGAACATCTGTGGGACATGGCTTGTTAATGCCATCAACAGGAGACAACTGTGACCAGCTAACCTTTATCAGCTGGTTGTAGCTGCACAGGTAGAGTGCCGAACATCCCACACCAGTCTATACACAGTCTGATCAGGTTTATGCATCAACAATGTCAGGATTGTATTTACGCTTGGGGAGCTCACACCTGATACTAACTTACCATGTTTCTTTGATCTGTAGTTTTGTGGACATTTCCTGTGATTTTGTTTCATATCTATGTTTGAAATATAGGATTACATCCAATTAGACCTGAGTGTTGCATTTCTTTTGTGCATCAGTATATAACAGAAACTACTACAGACACACACATACAAAATATGTATGTACAGTAGAACCTCTCTAAATCAGTAATCCTTTAAAACTGGATGATTTTCTAAGTCCTGATTTTTCCCTTGTATTTTCAACGTATAAGAAAAGAAGACCCTGGAATTCAAAACCTTAAAACATATCAAATCTTGCCTACCCATATCCAGCAATTTAAGAAGTGAAACTTGTTAGTTTAAGATAGAAAATCTATTATGCATGCAAGACTTACCTATTCACTTTCTTATGGTACGTATTTTATAATACACCAATTTTAAATCAAAATTGCAATTTTGTGTAGAAAGATTAATCAACATATCATTATATACATTAATGATGATTGGATAATGTATATGAAATGATATATTTGTGTATTAAATTTTTTTCCAGATGACAGGAATAAACTTTGTCCAAATGTTATACGTTTTATACTAAACTAAGTGTTTCATAATTAGTATATCTGAATAGGTGCTTGAAAACTTATCAAAGTTAAAGAAAGATTATCTTATGTTGTTACAAATAAAGAAGAATAAACAACAAGTAACATTTAGGTATTCAAGGGACATTTACACACACAATTTCACCAATTCATATTTCATTATAGTGGAAACCCTCTCTAAACTTGAAACCCCTACAAACTGAACTTTTGTGTGATTGAGAGCAGTTCCACTGTATATACAAATAAATAACAAGGAAAAAACTTCTCAACTTTCAAAGTAGAGTTGCATTTAACTTTCATGCTATTATTAATAAAATAATGACACGAGATGACAAGTGAGCATGTATACTGGTATTCTATAAAGCCTAGGCTTACAACTAAGCTCTTTAGTAGTCATAAGCCTAAGCATAAAAGGGTAGAAGCATGAAATTATTTTGATTATGTTGTAATTATTTAAAAAAATGCCATTCTAATTATTCTTTAACTGATTTCTCACTCATCATATTTAAAGAATTGCTTGATTTTCATTGATAAGTAATTGTAAGTCTTTGTAAATATTATATTCTTCTGTAGAAGCAATAGATTTCTAGCACACTTTGATTACAGAAATGCACCATTAAATAAATAGCTGTTCTACTTGTACAAAGAGCATGAAGTTGTATTGAAATCCAAAAGAACCTTTCTCAACAGGACCAGAATGAAGTTTAAGTTAATCAAACCTAAATTAAACACTGATATAACCTCAAGTTATTCCAGTTTACAAGAACTAAATAATCATACATAACTTCAATAGAACTTAAAGAAAGTAACGTAAAAGCTTGATTTCTAAGGAAAACAAACATAGTATGTTAAATACTTACTTCAAAAGTTCTCTTTCCCTCTGTTCTAGTTGCAATAAACAAGCTGCCAACTCCATGTACAAGTTATTGGCACGTTCTAATTTACGTTCATAATGCTCACGAATGTCTTGAGCATGTCGCAATTCATCTCTTCTTCTTCGCACCAGATCTTTCTCCACAAGAGAAACGTGATTTCCTTCTTGCTTTATTTCATTCATGTACTGCTTTATCTCCTCCTTCCAAGAAGCCTGACCATAAGAAACATAAGAAGCGTAACTCATAAAACCTTTTATACAATGTATAAGAAAATGATAGTTAGTAATCACTGTTTCATCTTAGCCTCCTTCATAGAAAAATGCTCAATCTGATGCAAACTGGGTACTTTTTTGAGAAGAAAGAAAAAAAAGTCTTCTTACCTACTACAGCCATAAGAGAAATTAAGAGAAGAGCCATAAGAGAAAGTACTTTTGTAATTATCTTTTTTTAGCCTAGCAGAATAGCCTAGTGGTGGTTAATAAAGAATTCTTACAAATTTAGCAAGATAACTCAAAACTGTGTGAATTGATATAATGATATTCACATTTATTTTCAGTGTTACATATGAAATTATGTACATTTTTAAATGGCTCTTCAGGTGTAACAAAATAATCTTTAAATTAAAGGGACTACCCCCATGATTGTAAACTTGCTTATACAAAACTATATTTCCATTCATGAAGTTCAACGTTTAACTATAAAGTTATTATTATTATTATTAATATTAGACAGATGTGATGCTACATGCTTAAAAGATTCGGGGCTTGGGGTCCCATAAGCATGGGAATTTTTGGTGTTTCAGTATGATACCGATCATAGTTTTCTATTCTGATTTTTCAAGACACTAACTGGGGATTCGGAGCACTTTCAAATAGAATCAGAGCATGGGTGTCGAGAGCCAGCCCAGGTCCTGGGGGTCAGTAATATCTTTGGGCCCTCATTTCATTCTATATATTAACTTTTGCTGATTTCTCATAAAGGAAATTTAGATGACAAATTTCGTCATGAATCTATGAAAAAACAGTAGCCATTTTATTTCATTAAGTAGTATGCACTTGTAGTGAGCCAGCTGCCCCCCCCCCCCATCAGCCCTGACCCTATGTACTAGTGCCTAGTGACTCCTTTGCTATTACAGGAGGAATTTCGTGAGGTGAAGTGGCACGTCATGTTCCACTTGATCAGTATGGAACAAGAAGCTGGGCAGGTTTAATCCTTTTCAAGAAATCAGTTTGCTAAATTTCTGTTTTAGCACCATGGCTGACAGTGATTTGGGGTGCTGTGATTGTGTTTTGTAATGAGATTTTTGAAACAGACGGTTTCAAGACATTATTTATTTTGGTGAAACCAATTAAAAATGTACTTCCTAATTAAAAATAATAATTCTAACCACAATCATCAAGATTTTGGATATACTTTTATTTGAAATTGCATTTATTGTATTTTCCAGTATTACAAGTACAATTTGTCATTTATTTCTACTGTTAGAATACAGAGAACCTGTACTTCCTACAGAGGTCCCCAATATTGAACATTATGGAAATGCTTGTCGAGCGGACTGAACAAACAGAACTTTGTTCCACGGAGGGGTAGGAGGTATAGTTTAACCAAAGAAAATGGTCTAGATTTCTTCATACTCACAAAATTTAATATTTATTGAACTAAAATTAATTTCAAACATCACTTATCTCTGAAATACGGAAATTTTTTCTTATTGAGCTTGCACTCATACTGTCAACAGAACACGAGACTCAAAATTTTTTAATGTCCTTTAAGCAATGCAGAGCATACGTTAGTTAATTTTCCATTCTCCCATCTTCCAATTACCTTATCATACATGCATTAGTTCTTACATAAGCTCTGATTTCCCACCATAACTTAGATTTTACTGAAAGTTATGGTCATGATGAAACCCCAGCTATAGATGGGAAAGTATTTCAGATGTATTTCAATTAAGACAGTCTTGTCTGTGAAATACTGAAAGCTAAAATATCCACATTTAAAAGGAGGTGAGAACTGGTAAACATGATCAAAATTACAAGTTACAAGGCAAGAAGATGATAATCTAGACTACAAAAAAGGTAGCCAAGCAGAGTCAGAGTACAATCCAGAACCAGAAGAAAAATTATTCGTAGAACTGCATTAAAGAAAGAAAGAATGGAGCAGATCAGCCTTACAGAAAGACTGGACCTAAAGGACAATCAGAAATAAAACAATTTTCTCAAAGGGCACTCTTTGCCCATGTTGCCCTGTAATTAAGGCAAAGGGGTAAATTTTGAAAGTAATAATAGTTTATTGTACCTGTGGCATGAAAAGATAGGAGGAATACTATGTGCTGCTCCCACAGTGGAAGGTTCTTGGTGGAGCAGCCCAGTCACATATTATTAATGGATGTAGTCCAAGGGCTGTAGCCCACCAGTATCTACATCGAAAAATTCCAGTGATTCACACAATAGGCACATTAGTAGGTTCTCAGGGAGAATCAAAGAAAAAACGAAGCAATCTGAAGGATAGGCTCAACAACTTTAGGAGATTGCAGCAGAAACATCAATGAATAAATAAATAAGATTGAAAAAATTGATCAAGTTGGAGCTGAGACATCTAGCAAGAAAGGTAATTCCATTTCTGATATCTCTAGTGTCTTGCAAAGAAGTGCACATGAAAATGAGAAAGATACCCACTGGAGCATCATCAGCCACAAGATGGCATCCTCTGTACACTTCCAAAGGACAAAATCCCCCCCCCCCCATTAAGATTCAGCATAGAAAGTCGAATTTTGTTTAGGACAAACACTGAGGAAAATGTGGCATGTAAGGATCCCAGTTGGACAAATCCAGACACAAGATCTGACATAAGGAGAGGCCATAATTTAGTTTTACATAATCAAATAATTGCTCAGAAACCATAGAAATGGTTAATAATGTGTATTGAGAAAATGTATAACAACTCGCAAGTAACAGTTTCCATTGAGCCTGGAGAATAAACACGGGTGGCAAACAGAATCCTGAAACTGAAAGTACAATGATATAACGATGATAAATATAATAAAAAAAAATTCAGATTCGTCTCCCTGTCTGCCTGCAAGACAGCCACTAAAGGATAGAGAGAACGAGATGCCAAAGAAATAATGAAGTGGTGAATTTGAGGAGATGTAACCATTCATGCTTAAAGTGATTGGGTGCATCATGATAAACAAGATGGATCAGTTGCACAAACCAATTTGTTAATGTGGATAGAGAAAAATCTGTAAAGCACAAATCATTATGAGGTATAAACAATGATACTGGTTTCCTCAAAAAGATTCTGTTTTTGCAACATAAGAACAAACAGTTTGTTTGTTTTGAATTTTGCGCAAAACTACACGAGGGCTATCTGCGCTAGCCATCCCTAATTTAGCAGTGTAAGACTAGAGGGAAGGCAGCTAGTTATCACCACCTACCACCAACTCTTGGGCTACTCTATTATCAACAAACAGTGGGATTAACTGTCACATTATAAAGTCCCCATGGCTGAAAGGGCGAGCATGTTTGGTGGGACGGGGATTTGAACCCGCGACTCTCAGATTGCGAGTCGAGCACCCTAACCACCAGGCCATGCCGGGCCTAAGAACAAACAACCCTGACCAGATATAGAAAGGAGAATCAGGATCATCAGAGAAGGTAACACAATAAGAGAAAAACAGCAGTGCCATCTGTCGCAGCCCAAACCTCTGATAGGATGGCTCTATCAGGATGCAAGTATAGAGCCCTCCTGGAAAAAAGTAAGACCCCCTGATAATTACACAATAAGTCACATGAAAGGTGAGAGAGTGAAGAATTATGTGTAAGTAATACGTGCTCTGCAAATTATAGATGACATTTGGAAATTTTGAATCATATGTTTTGTTGACAGCATGAGGACAAACTGAATAAGAGAGGTTTTCAGTAATTCAGAAGTAAGACTTCCTGATTTGAGTTGGATTTTAAGTTGATATTTTGCAGACCTTTTGTAACTTTCAACCATTCTGTAAGTTAATGTAACTAACATGGGTCTGACAGGTAAATTTCACTAGTTTAACAGCCAAAATGTTACTAAAGCATACAATGCTAGCAGTTCCAATAAATAAAACATTTTTTGTTTATCTGACCTGTGTTTTGAAGTATTTTTCCTTTGGTGTACTCAGGATTTCTACTGCTGCTATGTCAAGATGCATCAAGATGTGTCGAAATGATGGTCTATTTCTAGGCTTGGCACTCCTGTAACATGTTCTTATTTGTTAAAATGTTTCAAATGTTTTACTTTCAAGGTATAAAGCACAAAAAACAACATGTTTTTCACAAAGTAAAATATTTTATATTAAATGCACGGCCATTATCGAAATTGGTTTTCTCAAATCTCTCCACTTACCAACACTGTTTCATGAGCAATTTAAATCCTTCCGGACATGTTTTAGGAATGGGAAGATGAAGACTGTTGTTACCCACACCCCAGATGATAGCCGAAGAATCAACATCTTTATATGGAGTTTCACATGTCAACAACTCCCATAAGACCACACCGAAAGACCTAAAAAAATCACAGAATTATTTATTTTCAACAAGGATTCTGTTTCCTAATATTTAACTAGGCATATATGTATATATATATATATATATATATGTATGTGTACATGATTTCATTTATAATCATGAATAGGTCTGATCTTTGTTTATCTTTAAGGGTGTTCAATGCTCAATTTTAGGGACATTGGTAATATCTTACAACCACTTGAAAATATCAAGTTTATAATGAGATTACCCTTTAACAATGATTTTTTGAGCTTTTTCATAAATTTAATATTTGTTTCAAATTTATAAACAAGTGAAAAATACTTATGGATGTAGAATAACTTAAGATAAGTATATAAAGCAAATTTTATTCCTAAGATTTCTAAGTAGTCTGAAACCCTCGCTGAATACAACACATTATTGAAGTTCATCTTATTTTGTACAAATGTTGTGCGAAGTCTCATGCTGCTTATGGAACAGCTTCCTCCATCATCAGTCATGCTTACTGCGATAGTCATGGTTATACAATAGTGTTGAATACCATATTTTCTATTGTAACAAACTTTTGGAAAGGATGGTGAGGTCATTTTAGACAAAACATCTTGACAAGCTTTCCATAGTATATAAATTATAGCCTAAAAGACCATAATGAAGCAGACCAAAAGCATAATATTTCATTAGTACTGCATCAGGGGCCATGACAGATGTATGGCTAAATGGGATTGCCATGATTTTAGTTTCTTTGTCCATTTTTTTAAATGGAAAAACAGCCATTGATTTTCAAATGTGGATAAAAGCTTGTTAACTTATGGACAGTGAGCCTATATCATATTTAAATCCTTGTTTGTTAATGAACCAAGACATAAAGGCATTGCTGCAGATTGGCTTGTGGTGTGGCCTTGGAGCCTGTTGGTATGAGTTTTCCAACTCCCTGGGAGAACACTGAGGACTCCTTTCTTCAGAAATCTTACTATACAAATATCCTTTGGTAATTAGTGTACTTATGGTAGCATCGCACTGTTGAATATTTGGGAATTCAGCATGAATCCAAATAAAAGTTAAAACATCACCCAAGATGGCACTAAATTAGCATGTATAAGTTATTAAAATAAGGCATAAAACCTCTGTGTTACACCTATATTACACCTCAAAACACATTCATTGTATGGTCTGTACAATAATTTTTTCCAGAAATAAAATCTCTCAATTACATAGCTAAGAGGTATAGAAATCCAACTACAAGCACTATTTTAACATCTATCCTTACCTAGTCAATTCCACTCATTATACAATGTTTAACATAATCCATTGCTAAATGTAAAAACTACACAGGCTTTAGATAGACTAATATTTTCAATGTTACCATTACACCAGAAAATAGTTTGTGTTAATAAATCTTTTAATTCTTATGTTTAATACGTCAGGATGATATTAACTTTCATACCAACTGAACACCCTTTATCTCTGTGAGAAGAAATGGATTAACTGATCTAGTCAAATATTAATATAATTTTGTGTGAAGCAGTGCCTAGCAAGCTTTTAATATATTACATGTACTATACACTGAAATTCATAATTTTTCAATATTTTAATTTGCTGTAGTTTCTTTAAAAAATTAATTACTAAACATATATAGATTACCTAAATATTTTTAATCGTAATTCTTAATATCCATCATCATCGCTTCATAACCTATCTATTACTTTAAAAAAAGTAATTATAATGAAAAAAAAAAAAATAATAATAATACCAACCATATGTCCACCTTTTCTGAGCATGGTTCATTTCGAATAATTTCTGGAGCCATCCAAGCTACTGTACCAGCAAATGACATTCTTGTGCTGATTTCATTCCACTGTCTACATGTTCCAAAATCTGAGATCTTCAGGGTACCATTAAGACTGATAAGAACACTATAAAATAGAACAATCAGTATTGTTCTCTTGCACATTCAGTTTTCATTCAAAACCTTATGCTGACTTTTTAAGTGTGAGTAAAATCATCACACAATCTACATACAAAACTCACAGTCACCATTTACAAACTTCACGTAAGATCAACAGGTTAACAAAGAGAGTTTAAAAATATTTATGATATAAATGGTACAAAACACTAATGTTTACCTCATAATGTGGAATTTTTTTTACCCCCCCCCCCCCATTTCTAAAAAGAATACCAAACATTGGTATCTCATAGATGAATTAGGTCATCAAGAAATTAATGTTGCATTTTGGAACACTTTC